AATAATTAACATATCTATATAATATTTTCTATCAACGATGACATCTATTTTTCCTTCTCATTCTATTAAGATACGATTGTATGTCAATCATCATTATCATGTTGACAGATAATTATTTCATTTATACTTAAAACCGATGATAAAAAGTCTATATTTTATTTTGATGATAATTAAAGAAAAGAAATCCCTTTTTATAGAATATTATTTAGTTCTTACCATATGTGCGAATTTTAATTCGATATTTTTCATTACTTCCAACTCCAATTTTTGATATAGTTGAACAAATAAATTCTCGATCAAATGGTTGTGTACCATTAATACGATAATAACGTCCACGATCGGATTCATAACGATGATTGGCTACATCATACCATTGTATATCTGAACTATGCGTAAAATCTAATGGACATCGTATTAATGCTGAATGTGTACGTGGATCGAGAAAGATAGCTTCATTTAATTCATGAATTGTTGTTGAATTTATAGCGGATAAGATTAAAAATTGAAAGATAAGAAAAAAATAAACAATAATCTGAGCGTTTAGAAGAATCATTTTTTGTTGAGATTGTATTGAAAGAAAAAATTTTCTATTATGTAAAATCCATTCAAATTGAACATTTTTTTATTTACAACTATAGGCTCATTCTAAAACAAGAAAAAACAATGAAAAATCAATAAGCAATGTAAACTCTATACTATATTCAACGGACATACGAATGAACGAACACATAAATAAACATATGTCGGGCAATTGACATTAGATTTTCATTGGTTTATTTATAATCACATTTTTTGCTTCCACATTTTTTTGAACTACCAACTAACGTCATCTATCGTTCGAATAGGAGATTTAATATTCGGATTAAAAATCCATACATCATATTAACTGTATATGACTAATTGTTACATGTATATAGATATATATAAAGTTTATTGTTATGATTATAGTTAATCTTCTTCAATATAATATTGTTCGAAGTCTATTCTATTTCGATAGATAACTGAATACATAAATCATCATCATTGTTTTCCTTAGCACAGTTGATGTGCCGTTAAATCCCTTTTGCTTTTTATCTAATTATGACGTTGCCAGGTTGACTAATATCTATTTTTTTCTCCTTTTTTTTTTCTAGCCTTCATAACAGCCACATACATTGACAACATAGATACACACGTAAAGAATGTGAGACACATGACAGTACTGTGGAAGTGCTATGGGATTTAGTTTATTTTATCTTAAAATTCTTATGAAGAAACTTAATATTGATGATCTTAAGAACAAACTACATACTCAAAATGCTTTCTATATTTGATCGATGCTTTCGTAGTTCATTACGTAATGTGACTTGTTGCTTTGGAATAAACTCAACACAAAATACCCGGTAAGTTGTGATTTAAAGAGAAACATTTAGCCGGTCTCTTTCCGATGAATTTTTCCTTCGAAAATAGGATTTGTTTTTAAAGAAAACATATCCTAAACGTTTCTTTTCCCTATGTATTTCATCAAATCTTTTTACTTTAAAAAAAAAGAATATATATCTATATATCACGAATTATTTGATCTGTCACCATATGACATTATTTAGTTATCTATACCAGATATATCATCGATGCTATCAATTTACCAAAGAAATCTTATTGTCTTGTTCAGTTTTTTAGAATTTCTTAAATAGAATATTATATTATTTTAAAATCATAAATTTAGATAAGTATTAAAAATGTTCAAAAACTCATTTTTTATTGATAATAGTATTTGAAATAGATTATAGAATTTACATATTTTTTTTTCGCCAAAACTATTTTATTAGTATAAGATGTGATCTTTGATTAAAGTTTTGTATAAATGTTAAGACCTTGACGTTAATGGAATTCTTTAGATCAAATATCGTCTATCATTTTATACATCTACTACTGATGTAATAGATCTTGTAAAGCATGTTTTTAGTGTATTAATTGTAATATTCGATACAAATGAAAGAAAAATTTAATTATTCATTTTGAAATCAATATTTGTAATATTTAGTTTTGATTCCACTAGGAACGTATATTTATCAAACAAGAAATATATCTAACGTCTATATTTAGTATTGATGCTTTGGGGCACTTAAGATGCTAAACGATAAACAGACGATTCAACTTCCGATTATAGATAGATAGATAGAAAGATACGTATTAAATCTCTCTACTACACATTTACACTTGTCATTTATATTATAAGACTCGATATATACTTATCAACCATTCTAATAATAGACAACTAAATATAAGTTGATACCAATAAGGAAAGTTATCTGTACAACAAAGATTTATTGAACAAATTCCAAATAAAATAAAGCATATAGTATATTTGTGATTATTTAATCTACTGAATATGTAATGTATTCTATTGATAATACCAATAGTTCTATATCCTGTAGCGATCTGATCTTTTTTTATTGCATATTAATAGAGAACAAATAACCTTTTTCCAGCACAGTGCGCTCTTCTTTCTTTTTTTAATATAAATAACTAAATCGATTAATAAGTGTTTTCTTTGTGATTTGTTCAAGTACAGATAAAATATGGCCTACACATAAAAATCAAGGACATATCTTTTCATACAAGTGTCATATAAAGTAAGTTTCATATTCTATGCTGATTTTACTAGACAAAATCAATGTCTTAAATAATTGAAATAGAACAAATTAGTATTGTCGATAATATGAATATATCATTAGAATGATATAAATAAAATAAAGATAGAATCAAACGAAAAAGAAATAGAATATACTGTATGTTTTGATTAGAACTACCCCAAAAAAAAAATTGCAGGTTCTTCTATTTACAACATTGGGGCTGGCTTAGCAATGTGGTCGATTGCGCTGCGCGCGCGCGCGCAATAACACAATGAGAAGGAGGAGAAGATACTAGTAGTTTTGTCGCTCTTTCTGTCCATTAACTTAGAGAAGAAAGAAAATACGAGAATACAACATAAAAAAACAAACAGAAAAAGATGCTTTATACATCTCGTGCGCATTTATACTCTCGGCAAGAATCTGAAAACAAGACAGAGACACGGAGAGAGAGAGAGAGACAGAGAGAAAAAATATCTCACTGTACAAATACGTATGAGATTGCTATAGCTAGAATATACAAGGATGAGAAGGATGGTTAACTACACTACTTATTGAGTGGAGTCTCTTTCTACACCAAAAGAATAAGCTAAGAAGGATATCGATGATATCTAGCTAAAATTGTTTTGTTATATATCAACCGTTCGTTTTGTCCTTCTTGGGTTTTTTTTTTGCTTCTTATATTTATCTTATTGTGCTTTCAGTTTAGTAGAAGAAATAGTACTGAATACAACACTAAGACAAAATTCTTATTCTTCTTATACCGGTTTTTTTTATTATATCTCTATTGTTTAGTATTGCATATTTCTTCGGAATAACTCGAATTGTATATATCAATTCGATATATATCAAATCTTTAGTTCGACTTTAGGTTTTTTTTCTTTTCAAATTTTATATATTGTTTTTGATTATTGATATATATTCATACAAACACAAAAAACAATGAGGTAAGTAAAATAAATAGAATACATAAGAAAAAATGAATAATTAGATTTTCATATAATTGAATTTTGCGTGCAAAATCAACTAATTATACTAAGCGTTTTTATAGGAAAGCGTAGGATAGAGTCTCTATTGAAACTTGCAACAAACTGGATAATATTTGTTGATTACTTGTTTGGTAACGATGACGACAGACAACATATATTCAGGGATACAAAAGGCTAATATAAATAGCATTACTCTATACTCCCCCATGTGTCTCCGTCAATAGAAAATTATAATCTATTAAAAGGATATTTCTCGAGAGTTAACGAGTACAATATATTAAAGATATATATTTCTATGAATACAAAAGAAGAAAAAAAAAATTTAATTTAAGAATAATAATTATTTATCTTATCTATTTAGTACATGTACAAGTTGTCATAATTCATTTCCAGCTGGATCTCGTAAGTTATATTTTTCTTGTTTCATTTATTATATATTCTATTTTTGGTTATTTTTGCTAGGTATTACTGAATTCGATGGCAAACAATATCATGTAGATAATTTAAACAGAAAACAAAACATTTTCTGGAAATTATTTAATTTTTTAGCCCGATTGTTTTGCTTGTGCTGATTGTCGTAAACCAATAACATCACAATTTTATCCATTTAACAATGAATATCTATGTTCAGCATGTCATGAAGCACGTTTTCCTCGTAAACGTTGTGGTAAATGTGGTTCGGTGATAACTTCAGCTGGTATAACATTTGCTGGTGCATCATATCATGCGGCTTGTTTCTTGTGTATGTATCAGTTACATGAGAAGTTAATTGATCGTAATTAGAAACTAGAAAATATTATTTCTGCCTGATAGAATTATATTATTTCTATTTTCATGATTAATCGTTTATTATTATTCTAGGTGTAACATGTAAACAACCAATATCGGCTCAATCAAAAATCTCAATGGTTGATGGTCAACCATGTTGTGTTAAATGTTATGAAGATAAACATGCTAAACGATGTAGTCGTTGTCAAAAAGCAATTGTTGCTGATGTTGAATATCTTGAATTTGAAGATAAATATTGGCATAAAGAATGTTTTACATGTTCAAAATGCCAGGTAACAAAAAAACGCGTCATTTATTTTATAAAGTTTAATTTTTTCTATAGAAATGTATTGCTGAAGAAAGTTTTTATCAAGATGGAAATTTAATTTTATGCAAAGATTGCATTTAATTAACATAAAACAAAAACAAATTTTATAAACAATACATCGTTTTCTTTTTCTATAAGCATAATGTTTTATGTGTGTATTGCTTTTAAAATACTGCTGCTAATGCTGCTTCTTCTTCTTCTTCTTCTTTTTTTTTAATATGCTACCAGTTGCCTTTCTTTGCGCTCATCCCTGGCTATATTTCTATTTTGACAATTTTCTAATGCTTTATGGAATTTTTTTCGTATTTCTTCTTTAAACAAAAAAAACACAATACAAGATATACTAGTTAATATTATATATTTCTATTAAAATTCATCCTTTTCATGATGAGATTGTGAGAATTTTTCATATAAATAAGTTTGATAAATTTCTTCAACATTTATATCTTCAAATTTATGAAAACTAATAGGTTTTTGATGTTGAAGCCACTCTTTTGAATAAGCATTTGGTTGAGCTTGATGTAATTCTCTTATATGTGTTAATTGTATATTCAAACGTTTTAAACATAAACCTAAAAACATATCATCCGGTGTATCAGGTGTTGGACATTCACAGTTCGATAAAATTTGTTGTACAGCTTGTCGATTAAATATCATACCTGAACCACCAGTTGGATAATCATAATAATTTCCATAACCATATCGTTCACCAAGTACCATGGGTATATCATTTGAAAGCATGAAACATCGAATAAGTTCAAGAAGTCTTTTTACAGATAAAAGTGTATCATCATCAGCAATAATTAAAAATTGAAAATTTTCTTTATTTTTATGAAAATAATTTAGTATTGTAAAT